TTTGGAAGGAAAGATTAGGCTACCTTTACTTATTACACCCCCTCTACCACTTCAGGCGTTGTATGATGGGAATAATGATCAGTCAAAATCCTTTCGAAGTTATACTCGAGTGTACAATGCAGCCAATGCTTTTACGAGTCTTGGTGCTACATTGAATCATAGAGTACTCAGTGGAAAGGGCCCTACATCATTCACAATTCGTGGGGAATTGCAACATTGAACAGGATCACTACAACCACAACTAGGGCAGGATACGAGTTATGCTCAATTGTATATCTATGACCCATATTCAGCTTTAGAAATTCGTAATCGTAGATATCCTAACTTGAGAAGGGATGCTCTTAAAACTATTCAGGATAGTTTGTTGCAAGTCAATGCATTTGTAGATAAATTTCGCCAGGCTCATGCCATTTTACATCAATTAGACTCGGCATGACACAATCTACCTATTCATCTTCATTACAATTCAACAACTAATCGACGTCGATATAACTTACCAACTGTAGATGAGATTGCAATTGTAATACCAGGTGATGGAACAAAGGTAAATGGAATAAGTTACATTTCCAAGGAAATAATGAGTTGATACAAATTAATGAATGTCACCCAGTATACTTGCCATTACATTATATTCTATTATTTCCATATGGTGAGCTTGGATGGGAACCTGAGTTGAAATTGTGGAATGTTCAGTATGATCGACCTTCAACTGATCGACTTACTCAAATGAATTTTTATAGTTATCGTTTGTTTGAACGACCCACAGAGTATTCAACAATTTTGCGAGGTGGGAAACTATTTCAAGAGTTTTTGGTAGATGCTTGGGCTGCAACTGAGCAAAATCGATTGACATACTACAAGCTTAATCAAGGGAAACTTCGGGCTGAGCTTTACCAAGAGTTGTCAGATATGGATCCAGATTATGTGCGACCTGGACAAATTGGTCAAAGGTTTGTTTTGCCATCTTCATTTACTGGTAGTCCTAGACATATGTTTGAAATCTTTCAAGATTCAATGGCTATCACACGATACAACCAACACCCAGATATTTTTCTTACCATGACTGCAAATCCCAATTGGCCAGAAATTACTTCAGCATTATTACCATATCAAAAACCTATTGATCGTCCTGATTTAATTGCCCGTGTTTTTGAGTTGAAGAGAAAATGTTTGATGAAGGTGATAGAAACAAATAAAGTGTTTGGAAATAAAGTTGCACATGTTTTTACAATTAAATTTAAAAAATGAGGCTTCTCTCATATGCATGCACTTTTATTTCTTAAGGGTCCAGACAAAATTCGAACATGTGCCCAAGTAGACAAATTGGTCTGTGTAGAATTTTCAGACCCAAAAGATGATCCTATACTTTTTGAAACTATCAAATGTTGTATGGTACATGGACCATGTGGTGCTTAAAATTCGCAAGTACAATGTATGAAAAATGGTAGATGCACTAAGAGATACCCTCGAGCTTTCACAGAAACAACAACTATGGATCAAAATGGATACCTTATCTATTCTCGTTGCAATAATGGTCAAGTACATACTGTGAGGGGCCAAGAAGTTGATAACAGGGATGTCATACCATACAATACATATCTCTCTAAACTTTTCAAGTGCCATATAAATGTGGAAGTTTGTGCCGGAATGAGATGTGTCAAGTCCATACATAAGTACATTTATAAGGGTTATGATCGTACAATGATGGTGTTAGGAATAATAAATGAGATTCAACAATATCTCGATGCAAGGTATATTGGACCTCCAGAAGCTGCTTGGTGAATATTTGGTCATCCTTTGCATGCAGGGATGCCAACAGTTGTACGATTGACATTTCATTGACCTTGAATGCATCGTGTTGTTTTTAACCCAGAAGAGTCATTAGAAACGATTCAATCTAGAGTTAGTCAACAAATGTCAACTCTTACCAGCTTCTTTGCATATTGTGCTGTCAGTGAAGATGAATGTCCATTCATTTATCAAGAATTTCTACAACATTTTGTGTGACTTAAGTTAGAAAAGAGATGGAAATCAAATGAAATGAGATATGCAATTGGTAGAATGTACTTTGCTAGCCCTAATTGTGATGAAAGATTTTATCTGCGTTTGTTCCTAACCGCTGTCAAATGACCAAAGTCGTTTCAGTCTTTACGTATGGTCAATAATGTTGTGCATGATACATTTAAATTAACATGTGTTACAAGGGAGTTTTTAGAAGATGATGAAGAATAGATACAATGCTTGAAAGAGGCTGTAGTTATAAAAACTAGATATCAATTGAGGAAGTTGTTTAGTATTATTCTCACCCAGTGCTCTCCATTAAATTCATGTACATTATGGAATCAATTTTCAATGCTTATATGTGATGATCTTGCACATAAGATTCGTACATCATTTGTCATTTCTAACCCAAATAAGGCTCAAATTGAAGATTATGGTCTTCATCTTTTGAATTAAATGCTTTATGAATCAGGCAAAAGTTTAATTGACTTCCCACCCATGCCACAACCTACTGCAAATTGGAGTGTAGTAGTTGATAATCGATTGATATTCGAACATCAACAACTGCAGAGTGAGGCACAACATGCAGATCCACAAATTACTATTGATTGTCTCAATAATGGATAGCGAAATGCTTATAGCGAAATGCTTATAACACAATCACTTCTTCAGTTTTTCAAAATAAATGAACTATTTTCTTTCTGAATAGGGGTGCTAGAACAGGGAAAAAATTTCTGTACAATACGATTGCATTAAAATGTCGCAGCCTTGGGTATATCGTTGTTATTATGGCTTCATCTGGAATTGCATCATTGTTACTGGTAGGAAGTCGCATTGCACATTCAACATTTTCCATTCCATTAAATGTCTTGAAAAATTCACTTTGTGGGTTTAGCAAACAATATTACAAGCTGAGTTATTTAGAGAAACAAAACTCATAATTTGGGATGAAGTTCCTATGCAACATAGACATTGTGTTGAAGCGGTTGCTCGTACATTGAGGGATATTTGTGATAGTGAAAAGCCATTTGGGGATATTACTGTTGTTCTTAGTGGAGACTTTCGACAAATCTTACCAGTTATACCCAAAGGAGTTCGTGAGCAAATTGTGAATGCATTATTAAGACACTCTGTTCTATGAAAGCATTTATATATATCTTAACTTTAGATTTGAATATTCGCTTGAATCATAAAAGTCATGAAAATGCTAATTTTACAAATTTCTTAATGGAGGTAATACTACTTTTACCTTTATTATATATATTATTTTAAATTTATAAATTGTGTTTACACTCTTACTTTTTTATTGATTTCACTTTTTTTTATATTGGGGCCAATCCTCAAGAAATCGTTAACCTTCCATCAACAATACACAAATGTCAAGATTTGAATGAATTACTCTCTACATTTTATGCACAATTGAATATGATAGAGACGTCAACCCCAATATTTTTAATTGAACGCACAATTCTTTGTGTGCGTAATGATGATATCAGTGACATTAATACTACTGCATTAAATATCTTTCCAAGAATATTATATATTTATCTTGCAGCAGATAAAATGTCTGAAGATAATAAAATTGATCCTACCATTACAAATAGATATCCTAATGAATATTTAAATTCATTGGATCCTCCTGGGCTGCCAACTTTTAAGTTAGTTGAAAGTGAGTTGCCCTATAATATTGCTAAAAAACATTGCATCGAAAGATGAACTATGTAATGGTACAAGATTGATGGTTACTAGGTGCGGCACTTGCATAATTGAAACTCAAATTTTAATTGGAAAAAAGTTTGACAATTTGACATTCATACCGAGGATATCTTTAACACCATCTTCTTCAGAAATGCCTTTTCAAATGACAAGATGTCAATTTTCAGTCCAATTGACATATGCCTTGACCATTAATAAATCTCAAGGGTAATCTGTGAAATTTGTTAGGATTGATTTGCGTATACCAGTGTTTAGCCATGGATAATTATACGTGGCATTATCTAGATGTACATCATTTGATCATATAAGTATTCTTTTTTTTAAAGATAGTTTGAATTCTACTATAAATATTGTTTATCCTAAAGTGTTTTTGTAATATTCTATATAGATTAAATGACATTTTATCATAAGGTAACCATATAAAATTATTTCTATTGATTATATAATTTTTTATAAAATTTCAATTTAATAATAATTTGAAATTTGGATTTTTTTCGGATTGGATCGAAAAATCTATAGAGCTTAAAAGGAGAAATACAACTAACTTGTTTCGATGGGAATGTAATAAGGTAATTTCAATATCCAAGTATTTTGATATGTATATTTTTTTTGTTGTGTATATTCCTCATTCGGAATATATACAAGTTGATACAAATACTTTTTGAAAAACAATGAGAAGAAAGTTTAGATAAACACATATTTGAAGACATGTTATTGACACATCTTTTATAGAGCATACATATTTTGACAAGCTTTAACTCACTTTTCGTAAAATTTTAACCCATTCTTTTGGTGTTTACACTTTTAACTTTAATTTCTTTTTTTTTTGCTACATTTTATATTTTGATATGCAATATAACTTTAAATCTTATATATTTATTTCTTAATTTGCATTAAGATTAGAGAGAGTTGTTACAAGTTCTTAAAAAGAAAAATATTTTAATATATTTTTTTAATATCTTTATCAAAAAATAACACAAACTTCATAAATTTTAACATAATGCGTATAAATTATAACAAAAATGCTTTAGAGCTCTAATATAAGAGCTCTACTAACTCTAATGGGAAGGTGAGACCCACCCTGATGTAATGTTTGTACCTTGTTTTGTGATGTTTGTACCTTATTTTGTTTTGTTTTTTTGCTTTGACACATCACTAGAACTCAAATTAGAGCTCTAGATTTAGAACTCTCTAGCATTTCCCAAATTATAATTACATTTTAATTTTAAAATTACTTCCACCGTGCACGGACATTCCAATGACTAGTATTCCTTTGAGCCAAGTAAACCAAAATCAATCAACATTTCAAGTACTAAAAAAATTTAAAAAAAAAAAAAATCAAAAAAACAAAATTACAGACAAAATTTAAGAAACCTAAATGGATTTAAACAGTGAAACAACCACATAAAATACTTCAAAGAACTTGCCTATCAGCAGCTTCAGCAACAATGGGCAATCTAGGAAGCTGACCCAACAAACAAGAAGAAGACCCATAAATCAAACACACCAAAAGGTACAAAAAAACAGTACTATCTAAACTCATCAACAAATCCAATCCAAACCCATCTCTAGGATTGAATGTCCTCTCCAACAAATCAGGGAAAATCAAAAGCACATCAAGAACAATCGCTTGCATAGTGTTGAACCTCACATACCTGCTGAAATTAGGGTTTCTTACAACTACGAAGTAGAGAGTGAGGAACACCAAGAACCCATTAAAGGGGAAGCTCTTGAAGATCTTGATTGCTGGGAATAAGGGTTGGATTAGGGTTTGAATGGGCGTGAATTGGGTGAGGACGTACTTTCCGTACTGTACACCGTCGAAGAATGGGTAGAAGTAACAGACGGCTGAGATTAAACGATCTGGAAGGTCGGCGGAGTCGTCGTTGCTGCTGCCTTTGGAATGGACGGTGGTGATGGGTTTTCTTCTTCTGGGTTTGATTGGGTTGAAGGGTTTGAGTGATGGGTTGTTGGTTAGAGAGAGAAGAGATGGGTTTTTGAGATTGGTGATGAGAGAGAAAGTGAGGGGCCTTGGAGAATATAGGAGAGTAGTCATGGCCATTAATGGGTTGAGAGAGAATGAAGAGAAAGTTGTAGAGAGAGAAAAGAGAAAAATGAGAGAGAGAGTGAGAGAGAGAGGTGAAGATTGGTGAAAAGAAGAGGCAAAGAAGAATATCTGAATTTTAGATATCATGGTATGATCTGGACCATTGGATGTGAATACATGAGGTTTTGACCAGATTGGGCCTTGTTCAAGCCCAATTTTATGAAAATTATTGATTGATTTTGAGGTCACGCGGCTATGCCTCGTACCAATTATAATTCATTATGTTTTTTTATATTTTTTTATTTACTTAATACAAAATCATAAATTTTACTCTTATCACCAATCACAACACCATTGGATCACCAAGTGGCGGTGTCCAATACTAATTTATAATTTTTCCAATTTTATTGAATATGTCTGGCCCAACATAGAGAAGTCCTGGGCCTTGCGCGAGCCCGAGAAACGTGGTTCAACAGTGATTACATAAACTCCATTTGACAGGAAGAATATTAAATAAAAAATGAAAGATACATGGAGATGCCACGTGTACAACAAATATTCTGCGGTTATATTTCTTCTACTATAAAATAATTAATTTTTTTTTGAGTTAATTATTTAAAAATTCTATTTACAAATATTATGGTAGTTTGTATAAGATGTTTTGAACCAATAAGTTATATTTAGTAAAATTGTTAATATTATCAATTTTTTTCAATTTTTAAGACTAAGAACATTATCAATTTTGTATAGTAATATTTCAAATAATTATTTCACTAACTGATAAAAAAAAAACAGAGCATGAGATTAAATATTTTTATCTTTCTACTTATTGATTTGATTCAACTATCCAATAAAACTGAGAATATTATTAGTTTTTTCAGTTTTAAAGCTGAGAATATTATTTTTTTTTTCATTTTTAATTTTTTTTTCTTCTAGTTTTCCATATCAATATTCCATCATCATGCTCCTTTATAAACACAAAATTTTCAGTTTTGCACAAAAAATAATTCAGTTTTTTTTTTAAATTTTTTACACAATTTTTTTTTTTAATTTGAAAGTTGATATTTTAAAGTTTTGAAAATCAAAATAAATATCAAATCATCATATTCTTTTTTAGATAATCAAAAATATGAACAACCATTGTTTGAAGGGCAATTCCGATTATTAAAAATTTAATAGGATTTGAAGGTCTAAAAATCTTAGTTAGAACTTAATGGAGTACAAGTTCATAAATTAAGACCGGTGTGTGAATGCCCCATTATTTTTTTAAGTATTTACATGACAAAAAATAATTACACCTAATTTTGTATGAAAAAGCTTTTAAAAATTACCATTAAAAAAAGCTAAAATAAATTAAAATAAAGTCAAAAAAATCATTAAAAAGACTAAAAGTCACACAAAAAAAAAATCAATCATATACACAAATCATTCAAGTTTTTTTTTTCTTTTTTTTTATAATAATTTTTTTTAAAAAAAAATCATTTCCAAAGGCATTTACTTTTTTCACCTTAGAAAAAAATAAAAAACCAAATCTCAAAAGTTAATAGCGTTTTAAAATTTGTATTATATAAGAGTGGAGCCCATTTAAAAGAACTTAAAAAAAATAAAAGTAAATTTAAAATAAAAGTATAATGGTCGTGCATTATTTGATTTAATTTTTACTTATAATTTATTAGATAAAAATAATTTAAAAAAAAAATCTAATTATCTAGAACTAAGAGAAGGATGTTTCTAATTTCTGCATCTAATTATCAATTTTTAGCATATAATAAATTACACCAAACGAACCAAACTAACAAACAAAATATCTAAAGCATTGGAGGCCAAGAAAAAAAAAAAAAAAAGGTAGGCTAGCTAAAGTTTATAAAGCTCCGACTCTAATGAGCTCATAGAAAAGCTCATTGGAGGTGCCCACTATAGTTCTCTTATTTAGCCCAACAGATAATAAACCCAGTCCATCCATCGTTTAAATAAAGGATAAATTATTCAGACGTCTTTTGTGAAAAATGTATATTTTATTTAATTTCAAAACTTTTTAGATAAACGTAAAAATTTTATATCTATTTTATCTTCTCCTCTCTTTCTTACACCTTACTTCTCTTTTTCATCTCTCTTTTTATAATATCAATGGTGGTGGCGACGATGACGATCACGCCTTCCTTCTTTTCTTTCTCTTTATAATACAGTCACCAACGACCACTATTGATTTAGTTTTATGGACAACCACCGAACACCAACTCCTTACGTTGTGCTCACCAACGGCAAAAGAGATGAATTTCTAGGGAAAAAGATAGGTAGATTTACGTTAGATCGGGATAAATCTAAATAAAAAAATAGTTATCGAAGTACAAGTATCTTTCTATATTTGTCTTTTTCCTTCGATATCTTAGTTTTAATACTTTTTTTGTACTACACACTTAATTTGAACACGGCGTTTCTTTACAAATTTTAAAATTTAATTCCACGTTCACTTTTGAAAATGCGGCCGAAAGTGAAAAAAATTGGATTAACCGATCGTCCGGCCGGTTGACCGGAACAGTGCATTTTTTTTTTTTTTTTTTGCAATTGACATGTTCATTTTTATATATTCGAAAAAAATATTTTTCGAATTTTAATTTTTTTTTATGTGTTTTAATAAAATTTTGAGTTATATGTTTAGTTATGAGTTGTAAGTTTTTATATCAAATATTATATGTCACATCAAAAATTTCTCACGCAATTCAAAACTCTTTCACCAAACAAATTTTTCATACTCAAATCATAATTTTAAAACTCACAAACTAAAAATACAACTCCTACGCTTAAATCATAATTAGAAAGCTCTACCAAACGCAACCTTACATTTTCAGATTTATTTTATTTTATTTTATTTTTTGTGCGCGCTGAAATGAATCATTTTTAAAAATTGTAAAATTTTACAATCTCATAACATATTTTTCAATTTGACTGATAAAGATAAATACTTAACAAAATCATACTTTGAAACTTCAACATTTTACAGTTTCAAAACTTACTTTTCAGTTTGATCAACATTGAAAATAATTTACTTAAACCCAACAAAAATTAAAAATAGCATAATTTTTTTTCATTGTTGCTATTTGTTATTCTTAGATTTTTATTTTCATTTTTTCTCAGTTTATCAAATTTTGTTATTTTTTTCAATTTTTTTTTTCGTGACGATATTCTAGACATTTCGTGAATCTTCAACGACATTCTTGATGTCCAGTGAATATTCTAGACATTCCGACGACTTCCAGTAACGTTCAGAATATTTCAACGATGCCCCAGCAAATTTTCGACGGTAATGGAATGTAACACTCTTTAAATTTTTTCTTTTAAATAGGATTTCTTAATAACAATTAAAAATATATAAGACTAATTGATAAAAATATTTTATTTTGTGACTAGATAAATTTTGCATTTTGTATATAAAACTTAACAGTAAGTTCCCCTTAAAAAAATTGTCAATAATTGCTATCCTAAATAATTTTCCCAAGAACAAGAAGGTGGTGAAGCTGTCCCTTTTTTAAACAAGAACTGAAGCTAAGGCCTCATTTGGCAACTTGAAATCTCAAAAAATCACTATAAATTGTCACATCACTCTCTCTACTTTTTGTATATCTTTTCATAAAAAAATAAAAAATTATTAAAATAACATGTTCCTAAACCAAGCCTAAATATGCAAAAAAACACAATAAAAACACTTCAAAGCCGCAACACCCTTATATGCCATTCACCTAAATCCAAATTGAATTTAATGGCTAATCGATGGTAAGGTCCGTCTAGAGTGAGAGACATTTCTGAACAATAAAGAGTATTTCATATTGATGCAATAGGGAATGAATTATACAATACCTTGCTTTACAAGAAACTCTCCTGGAATCTAATGAAAAGAATCGAGCATGGTATCAAGACCAACGTCCCTTCTAACAAATATCATTCCATCTGCTGGAGTTCTGAATTGCCACATAGGCAAATGAACAATAAAATGGTCCACACAGCCTTACTTTTCTGGCAAACAACCACCAGGGTTAAGGAGTAACAGACTTTGGTTAAACCTTTCCTGTCAGCAAAAATCGCAAGTGAAGACCCTCCTCCCCTCTACTCTCTTTTTATGGCAGACTACAATGAGAGAGAGAGAGTCTTGTTTAATTACTTCGCTATATTAAATAGATAAAATGGGGTTTAGAGGTAACTCTACGGATACGTGCTCATCTTTCTCACAAAGGGTACAAAATTATTCCAGTTGTCGACCCTGAAAATCTTATCGTTCATTCTAAAACAAGTAAATGATCTTACAGACTCTTCGTGTGGGAAGTAACAGTTGGTGTATATTTGTTGTAGTGCAACCTGCAAAAGAAAATGGGTGTCTTTTTACTCTAAAGTAGGTGGAAAATTTTATTAATACGAGGCAATGCTATTTTAAGAGGAATGGTGGAAAAACAGTAAAACTAGAGGAATAGATAAAATAAACAATAAAACTGTAGGGCTCAGAAAAAGAAAATAGAAATAATGATGAAGAAATTATAACTGTCCTTAAAAATTTTAAAAAAGCGAAGACACGCGTAAATGTCCAATGTTCCAAGATATATGCGAAGGAAATTCTCATGTTTTATGCTATTATTCCTCCAGTTGATCAGTAAAATGCATTTATGTATGATTTAAGTTACATCCCCCAGCCCCACCATAAAAGAAACAAAAAATATAGAACATTTTGTCATAAGGAAAAACATGAAATGTGACAAAAGAATGATGTTAACAAGCTATACACCATTTCAGCAATTAAGTTTTTCAGCACTTTTGGTTTTCAAACATGATCAAGATTGCTGGATTTTATAAACAACCATAAAATATACATTCAAATTATAGTCCCTGATTATGCTGCATCTGTAGCATATTGGTCTCACATTTGAATGACAGTAGAATGATTGTTACACATGCCCAAAAGCCATAGGCATTTCTGCGCAAGCATTTGCATAAGAACATTTATAAGAAGAAAAAAAAAGTGTCATGCAAGCAACCACACAATGCTAACTTGATTACTGCATATAGATATTGGTAAAATTGGTTAATATTTTGTCAGTTTTATTTCATTTTACTTTCCCCCAGTGGCTTATAATTATGCTGCTACATAAGGTTGGCTTCATGTTAAAACAGTTCTTTAGTCCTTCCTTTCATAACTTGGATCAATGTTATGAAACTTCAATGACAGAACATTCAAATATTCCATTCCAAACTTAAGTAAAAAGATTGAGAGAAAGTAAGCAATGTGTGTAGAAAGAATGATATTTACCTTGTCAAATCGCTCATAAGAATTTCTTCCAGTCAAATGTATGATCCTTTTCTTCGACACATCCCTAATCTGGGATAACTCAATTGAGAGCGACTTAGAATAAACAATAGGCATAATAGAAGCACATTAATAATAACCATTATATCATAAAACATAGTCCTACAACAATGCCAGATACACTTCTTGATAAAGAAAAGTATAAACACTGCCCCTTCTCTCAGATATCAACTGAATTAGGGGAAAAAAAAGGTACATTAAAAATACAGAACATATATCCTAACAAAGGTTTTGTGTCTCGAGAACTTAGGAATATGATAAGAAGCTAAATTTTTGTCACTTTTCCTTCCCTCTGCAAATCCAAGACCCATTCACCGCATTAAGGTTTTAATTAGGCAAGAATGGTGGGCATGACCATGAAATATAACAGATTGCAAATAACCTGATAAGGAAACAACCTTGATTACTTGAGAAAGATTTAATACCTGTTGGAGTAATCCTTCTGGACTGCAAAGGTAGGTTTGTGGGGTTTCAATATCCATCATTTCAAAGCAGCTACAGCAAGGGGGAAAAAAGGGTCTGAATAATTATTATGCTATCTGAGATTTCATCACAAGAAAGTATAAATTGAGAAGTTTAATAAGCAATGAGAAGGCTCCATAATGCAATCTCCACATTAAATCCCTAGGGCAAACTTTCAATCAAAATGATGTTTCCCCATTTTAATGATGTTTTCCAGGGACTCTTCCCCATGATTTTCCTGACCCAATAGAAATAAATAGACAAAATGAAGTTAGAGGACCCAACCCATTCTTGTCTCAAGCGTGGCGTGACATATCAACTGACCCACCACATAGCCTATGCATTGATGTACAACTTGTTTTGCTGTTAGACCAACCTAATCTTCTACTCTACAAGATTAGTGTTAGATGAATAGGAAAGCAACCAATTCAACCATCTGAATACAATGTTAACTGAGTATGGAATAAACTTCAGACTTAGATTCTTACGAAATTTGCAAGGCAGCTCTGTGACGAGACAACATCAAAGCCAAAGGATCATAACCATCCCTAATAGCAGTGTTGTAGTACCAGGCATGTGAGTTCAGCAGGGTGTGATACTGTCTGGTACCACCAATATATAATACCAATTTTAGCCACTAATAAAACAGAATTTTGCTCATTTTCTTGATATTTCTCCAACATTTTTGCTGCCTTTGAAAGAATAGAATCTGCATGACAGGTCAGCTTCCTACTGTACCATTCCTGCAAACAGAAAGCAACATTGTCAGGTTTCTGGTGTCCTTTATAAAGTGCATACAAAATGTCCTAAAATAAGTTTTCATATTCCTGCATTACCAGGCACAGAGAGAAATGCCATTAAGTAAGGCCATGAAGTAGATTTATCCACAAGCTGCTTGAACTACTTAGTTTTAACCATCCATTTCAGATTAATATTAAGTGCTACAAGTATTTATCAATGATCATCAGAAGAGAAAAACATAGGATAGAACTCCGAAGCTGATTTGTGTCTAATCGATCTACTTGATATGACTTACGCCATGGTTAAGGCATCATTTTATCATATTATGAAGTTCACAGAAGTAATATCTTTGTCACTTGAAGAAAAATGACCAGAGTTCAGTACAGAAGAACCAAACACCATAATCTTACTTGCCTAACCTCCATTGCATTCTTGCATGGAGTCTTTGGCCTTAAAGCCAACTGCTATTTTCAATTAATTGTTCACATTATGTAAGAGTCAAAAGATTCAATTTATTAGGTTCATAAGGCAACCAGGTGTACCAAAAATCGTACTGATATGCAACTCCCAGCTATTAATTTCAATTAGATTATTCAGATAATGTTATATATAAATTTCATTTTATATAAGTATACATGGATGCCATCTTTGTTACAGGTAGTTGCAAACCTGTTGAAAGCAATTCTGTTTGAATATTACCCAATTAGGACGAAGTAATCAATTTGGGAAAAATCCTGGCTCAACCACAGCTCACAGGTAATATTCAAACAGCTTAGGGTATGAACAATTCATTGTATATTTCCAAACAAAAGGTAATTCATTTATCCTTTTTTAAGTAGACAAGGTAGACTCTTTTCTATCCGAACTAGTATTTGCCGTGTTTATACAGAGCTGTTATTTCAACAAGTGTTCAACACAGCAGATAGTCAACAAGGGGAAGTGTCCTACATGTCATAGCTCAATATTTGATGATAAAGCATTCCGGAGTCATAGTATCCAAGACAAATTCTCGTGTAACAAATAAAGCTGGAAGAAAACCACCAATTATTGGTAAGCATATCTTCGGGCCAAAAGAACACGTTATACAAAAAATAAAGTTGGCCATGAGTTAGAAAACTCCACTATAGAGGTGGCTAGTGCATGCTCCATTTCCGGTGCATCAAAGATGTTGACTTGTCACGACGTGTACAAAGTCCCTTTTTTTTTTTCTTGGGGAAAAACTTAAGATTTTTTTCGTCCTTTTTGGCTAAACAATACAAGGTAAATTAGTAAGATACATACTAGGAAAAAATGACCATAATCGGAAAGAAAGCTCTCCTGTCCCTCTTCAAAGAAAGGAACCCCAGATGGAAAGCTGTTGTACCGACCAGCACTTCGAGGGCCCTTGTTTCCCCACTGAGGCTTGCCTACTTCATAAGCAGCGGTCTTTAAGTCTTCCATCCTGAAAGGACAACAAGCCTATCAGCAGTGAATATCCAAAAGTAAATGAGAAGGTGTTGCAGGATTAGAGACTTCAACCTACATGTACTTGTCGTAGCACTGGAATTCACCAATTCCAGGGAATCTCCATCTATCATCGCCAATGGGATGTGCAGGGTACCTGCATTTGACACTATAAGATTATCTTGCTAAGGTTTTGTTTTGTCCTTGTGGAACTGTAAAAAGTGGGGAAGTACCTGAGCTCCCCACAAGGACCAAGACCAACACTTATTTCTTCAATTACAGTTCCCAAGAGTGCTTCAAATTTGTTAACAAAACTGAGCATGAAGTCTTCATAACATTGGAGGGCAGTCCGACCACAAAATAGAGGATGTTGATCCACCCCAAGCGTAAGATAATCGTCATTTGAGACACCATTCCAGTCTTGATAATAAATATCCTTATTGTGACGACCAATCTGAAAAAAAAAAAGAAAAAAAAAAAGAAGGCATTGGTATGCATGATCCCTTAGTTCATTTTACAAAACTAGTCAACCTAAAACAATATTCCAATATATGATTGTTAATATATTCCTCTCTTGTTCGATGAAGTTTTAATATATCATGGCCTATTGGGACCCACAGCTCTTGCTTGGTTTGGTTTATGCAAAAGCATATTAGTTGGAGCACACTACAATATATAGGGTGTGAAGGTAGTCCTCAAGAGTTCAAAAGGTTCATACACCACACTACTAGATATTATCGTCCAGATCTAGACCATTATCCATGACTACCAGTAAAGTATATGCCATATAATTTTGGAAAGGTTGATACAATTGGCCATGGAAACAACACTAGTATAATAAGAATTGATCTACACAATCCGGGTATGTTTGTAATATGGGGACAATCAAGTTTGTTTCAATGCTTTAACTGCCCTACCGTCAGCCGGTAGATAGTATCACTAGTACCATCAAAGTAATAAAACTAGTTACGATAACAAAGCAAAAGACACAAACCTCTAAAACCCACAGTGGAAGACGGACACCTCCTTGCCCTCCTGAGGTTAAATGCATGTTTGAATGAAAAGACAATGCAACATGCAACTTCAACCCTGACTCCGATATCAATTTGAAAAGTTCTTCATAAAGAGACCAGTTATATGCAAAAGGAGAAGCACGCTCCACAATCCCCCACCAAACCTCAACTGCAATGCCGTGCACACCTGCCAACTTGAGTGCTTTTATAGATATAGTTAAGGCCTTGATTCTGAAACAAAAAGAACAAAATATACATTTACGTACTGTCACCATTGAAACTGAAGGATACAAGAAAATAAATTACAAAGAAAAAGGCACACACACACAAAAAAAGAAGAAGAACAAGAACAAGAAAAAAAAAGACCTCGGATTAATTGCAACTTAAATTAGGAGTTGCCATGATGGATACTCGAAAACCTAAGAAGAGCTCATCCTTCTTTGTCCTAAAGAATTATTCGGCCAACAATGGGGTTGCATTTTAATTTGAGCAATCAGCAGTGCCAGATAAAGTTAAAGTGAATCAGGTATTTGGGACTCTAATTCCATCATCAGTTTTATCTCCAGCACTAAGAAAAATCGAAAGTACAACGTTGATAATGTACATTGTATACATGACAGTGATACATATACCATACACCCATCACAAAGAGAAAAGTTAAAAATATCAACTGAAGGATCAAAAACACTTGCTTTCTAATTTTGGCAGCCCCAGAAGTATCAATACCAAACAAATCAATAGGCACCATCACGAAGATTGGAACCTTCTTGTGTTTTGATGATACCAATAATCTGGATCTTGATCTCTCCTGAGCATCCATGCTGCAATACATAGTCCAAATATCAGGCCATTATCTTCTTTTCTGGTGATAAGTAACAGTTATATCACAGGAATAAATATTAGTTTAAATATTTACTCACATTGACTATAAATAAAACATAGAAACTGAGAAGATCTCTAAACAAACAGCGTTTAGTCACCATGGCATGAACAATCCAGTGATTCATTGTTTTGGTAGTTTATACTTATTCTTTAAATATGACTGTCCAATACAGGCACCCTTCTCTTACCAACAGGAAAGAAGATTTTATTAAGAAATTACTGGCCATCCAGCCTACAATCTCATAGACCAGCCTGTACCAGCAATAGGGGGATACCAGTCCCCATGAGACAACCTCCTCTGCAGCCAGGGCATATTTGGCTACTCATGATCCAAGCACCATTATTTGTGTTCAATGCTGTAATAATTCAAGCAAAGCTTCTGAGAAATTAGACAGATCTAGGCATCTCTCTTCTCTAAGCCTGACCCACATAACATCCTAAGCCCCAGGTGCTTGTGAAGCCATTATTTGGGACACTAATTTCAAAAAAATCCCATTTCAAGATATTGGGGTACGCCTACCTTACAGAAGTTTGGGGAACAAGAATGTAGTGCACCATTTGCTCTAAAATATAATATGATAGAAGTAGACTTGTATATATTATACTATTAAGAATTTAAGGTATTTCTGAAGCAATTTTCTTTTAACAATTAGACGTAGAATAAATGTAGATTTTGTTTTTCCAAATTAACCATGCAGCAACACATTTCCATAAGCATTTTGATCCATTTTTAACGTTTTTTTCCTATCAAAACTTCGCTCACCTTAGATTTTTGTTCATAATATTTAAAATTTTTACTCCAAAGGAAACCATGAGGAAATATATAGAGAGAAAAAATTTGGGATCACTTTAAATAACTAAATTTTCTATTTTGGAATGAAAGTATACCATGTTACAAAACAAAATGTAGTTCGCTAGGGTGGTAATGTTTCCTAGTTTTTGTTGCAATGAAATATTACTTACCAACAAAAATAAATAAACAAACCCATAAGCTTGGTGGCGAGTTCATAAAATTCAAGTAGAGTTTCGTGCATGACACTGAAATGGCAGGTAGAAAGGTAGTGCATGAAATGAACAAGCCTCTGCAAAGGAAGGCAAATTTGGATGGAGTTCTTGTTACAAACTATAGTGCAGATTTGAGTCTGTAACTTGGTTTAATTTGCACACTAGACCTTGCAGAACATTTGTGAATATATATATGTTCAGGAGAAAGAATTTTGGGAAAAGATGAAGTTGCATATTTCTCATCCGTCCCGATTTTGTTACATTTTTTTTGTCCAATTGGATTTCTTTTCTTCTTTTTTTTTCTTTTTTTTTCTTCCTAATAGGATTTGGACTTTGGCATCTACTTTGAATTTTCCAACAGCTCTGAGACAGTGAACACCATCAAAGAACTTCATCAACTCTTACTATTGCAATGGATTAAAGTACTGCTAGCTTCACCAATCTAGTGTAAATTTAAAAATAATGTTTGGTTTGTTTTTAGAAGAAAAAAAAAATCAGAATTATTTTTGAAAAAAATGGAAACTAATTTGATAAAAATAAATATCAAAAAGATATTTTTTAAATTTTAAAAATTATTTCTAACCTCCAAAAGATAAAATTATATAAAAATAATAAGGGTTTTTTATTTCTTTCACCAAATTAATTTTTAGTTTTTTAGAAAAAAAATTCTAAAAATAATGTTTGGTTTGTTTTTCAGAAGAAAAAAAATCATGATTATTTTTGAAAAAAATGGAAACTAATTTGATAAAAATAAATATCAAAAACATATTTTTAAAATTTTAAAAACTATTTCTAACCTCCAAGAGATAAAATTATATAAAAAAAATAAGGTTTTTTTATTTTTTTTATTTCTTTCACCAAATTAATTTTAGTTTTTTTAGAAAAAATAAATAAATAAAAATTCCAAACACAAGTTGACAACCGACAACATGAATTTGACATAATCATTCAAAAATTTCACATCTCTAATAAAATATAAGATTGATTAATTTGAAATCTCAGAGATTTTATGTGAATAGTCAACCATGTACATACATGGACATGATTTTTTGGGGGGGGTTTTGTTTCCAGCAGATAAATTGCCATTCAACCAAATATAAATATTAACAATTACACATTTATTTTTTCGTTTTCTAAACATTAATAATGAAAATTAAACTGATGATTCTCATTTTCCCGAATTTTCTCAGCAACCAAACAACACAAAGAAAATCGGAAAACAGTAGCTCACCTCAAAATTTTACCGGAAACTGATCTCCGCCGAGAAAGGTCCCATTTGAAGTGAGGAATTGAGTAGACGTTTGTGAGATTCTTCATAAATTTCCTCTTATCGAAACATACTTCTCTGAGAATGTTCAGGCTCCTCCTTCCCACGCACTTGCACGCCACTCCATTTTCCGCCATTCCCATCCCTCTCTCTCTCTCTCTCTCTCTCTCTCTCTCGATCTCTAGAGAGAGAGATGAACCAGAAACACTGTTCGGCTTTGATTTCTTCGTTTTGGTTTTTTTTTTGGTTAAATAAACAAAAATTCAAAAAATATCTGTCAATTTTTTTTGTTTTGTTTTTGTTTTTGTGCAAAAGTTTGTTTTTTTGCTAAAGAAAACAAATGTCAAAAATAACTTTTGGTAAAATTACAGCATTAATGTTTATAATTTTAATCATATATTTCATTTTGAGTCATTTATTCATAAATTTTTCTTCATTTATTTATATTTTGCTTAATCTAAATTAGTTTCTTATGTTGCAATAAAATCTATGAATTAGTGCGCATTAATATTCGTACTGTTAAATTTATTCAATATGAATATTTACATTAAGAATTCAAAAAATATTTGTAAAAATAAATTTGTTCATAAAATACTTTAAATATGAAAATTATGATTTTATGAATCAAATGTCTAAAATAATAGAATTTATTAAAATATAACAGCTTGCTTGGTGGTTTTAGTTTTTAGAAAACAGTTTTTAAAAAATTCTATTTTTTTATTTTTCGTATTTTAATATTTTTAATGATTTTTTTTAGTATTTTAAGCATTTTTTTTTTTAATTTTTAGACATACCTAACATAAATATACTTAAAAAGTATAATATTTGTGAAAAAAATATTTTAAAAATACACTAAATACCAAAAAATACAAAAAAAAAAATTAGTACATTTTTTATATTTTTGTATATTTATTAATTTTTTAAATATTTTTTCACAAATATCTTACTATTTAGATACATCTAAATAAGATGCATTTAAAAAGTAAAAAAAATTACTTAAAATTTAAAAAAGACAAACTATGAAGCACGGACATTTCAAAATAGGCGCTGTAGCGGTGTTGGACACGGGGACACGTATGGGACATGCCAAATGGTGTGTCCCTTTAATTTTATTATTTTTTGCAAGGGACATAGCAGGGACACAGGGACATGTTGTGGACACGTCATTTTTACAAGTGTCCAAATATGGATAATCTATTAATTTGCTTAAATGTAGATATATATATATATATATATATTGATTTAATTCAAATGACACTCATTCAACAAGTATCACAATATCCACATAAATTATGAAAGGAAAAAACAATTGAGAGTTTCTTTTTTCTTTTTAATATTCTAAAAAAAATTAAGAATTGATCTACTTTTTAAATTATTTGAGAAACTAATCTATTTTTTAAAATCGTATTTTGAAAATGTAATTTTAAAATTGAAATTATATTTTTAACACGTAATTTCACCTTAAAATCGCATGTTGAAAATATAATATATCTTAGTGAGTTCATGTCATCATAAATTGTATTTTTAACATACGATTTGAAGGTTTTACATACTAAAAATGTAATTTTAATTTAAAATTACATTTTAAAAATATTATTTTAAAAAATAAATTAATTTTATAAATAATTTAAAAAGTGAATTAATCCTCTTGTTTTGTTTTTTAAATACTTAAAAAAAAAAAAAAAAAAACTCAGCAAACTCAGTGGGGCGGCAGAGAAAGTCTTTGTGATTGGGTCTTTGATCCAGCATGGAATGCTCTTAATAACTGGTACCGACATCAAAAGCTTATGATGGATATTTTTTATTTTTTTATTTTTTTGAATTCTTATCCATTATGGATAACTACTTAAACGCTGAATTTTAATTTTCAAATAAAATTTATATTTCTTATAAATGTAAAATGTACACGAGTTTGATAGTTTTATGCACAAATAGGTGGGGTTTGTTTTGAAGGATTGGATTATGTGATTAGACTATTACCGTTGTTTGGTTTAATTTTTTCTTGTTCTGGATTAATAATTTTTTCGGACTATTAGTCTTTCATATAAGAGATTATTGTGTACATACATGGACATGATTTTTTTTTGGGGGGGGGGTTTCCAGCAGATAAATTGCCATTCAATAAATAAAAAAATTTAATTATAAATTATAAAATAAATTTAATTAAAAATAATAAGTTATAAATTATGTCCATATAAATTAAATTTTTTTGGTGTTGTTAAAAAATTAAATTTATATATTAAATAAAATTATTTTTTTAGTGTTGTTAATTTAAAATTATATATTAAATAAAAAATAAAAGTTATAATTTATAATTAATAAATTTAATTTAATTGAAAATAATAAATTAAAAATTATGGCCTTGTAAATGAATTTTTTTTCATGTTGCTAAATTATAAATTATAGATTACAGATTTAAAATTATATATTAAATAAAAATTATAAATTGCAAGGGTAAAATAATTTCTTAAACATTTATCTTTATCCAGTTTGTCCAACCAAACATTGAATTTATTAAAAATAGTCAAATCCAGATATCTAATCTCATGACCAGTGGCGTAGTCAGAAAATTAAATTAGACGGGACATTTATTAATTACAATATCGAAATTTTTTATAAAAATATTTCATACAAGTTTTTACGATTAATTTCGAGAAACATTAAAAAAATAATGTTATTTGTAACTAGTATATTATGGACAATACAAAAAAAATATGAGTATAAATCTTAAAATAAATTATATAATGATAAAAAATTTTAATACAAAATTTGATTAAAAATTCAATATAATGGTTACTACCACATCATCATTAATATGTGATATCATCAACTAATAGTATATAAACACACAGAGAGTGAACTTCACATGTCAAATGTAACTAACAATCCAATAAATTTCATATCTTTATAGTGAGATTACTTATATTTGCATGTCAATAATAATGACATCACCGTTACATTCAAATTTTTTTTATAGATAATATGATTAATAGTAATCTCTTCCTTTTCAATTAAAACAACCATTATAATTCTCATAATTTTTAAAAATGTCATTGACATTTCACTTTAATAATATTTTTGTAATTTTTTTTATTTAAAATATTTTCTTTATGTTTACAATTTTATTTTATTTTTTTAAATCCCAAAATTCAGATGACACGTGACCCCCTGACCTTTACCTCTTTTCGCCATTGCTTATGACTAAATAAATATATGATACAAATCCAGTCCAATTAAATAGTTCAAAGATAATATATCCCAAGATTAATAGTATGATGAATTACAATTACTCTCTATCTAATCTGTCCAAACAAACATACCGTATTGGAGCTAGGAAATGGTAGAGGGTGAAAACGAGCTAGGGAGGGTAAAAAAGGATTAAGGTAACAGAGGAGAGTGTGGAGTTGTTGATGGTGTTGATTGATAATGATGATGATGAGTGATAGCTAGATAGAGAGGGATGTTTTGGGGGAAATAGTTAAAAATTATTTATTTATTTATTTTATCTTTTTTGTGAGAGAGATAAGTGGGTTAAAAGTTGAGAAGTGACTTTTAATTCACTTTTTAAAATATGCCATAAGGTTTAGGGTTGAAATTTAGATGGTTAGAGATAAAAGGGAGGAATTAAATTTTATGGGGGATTTATGTGTAAATTCTAATATATAGACTCATTATTCAATGGGTGTCGTGATAATTAATGACTTTTTCACTAAACACTATCAAAAAAAAAATATCATAATTGTTAATTTTCAGTGACAGTTTTAAAATTTTATTACAAAAATCTTCAATAATTATAAGGTTTAGCATAGTTTTTAAAAAATCACAAAAAAAGTCATTAATTTTCAGCTTTTAGTGATAGTTTAAAAAATTCGTCACAAAAAAAATCACTAATTGTAAGTTTTAACAATATTTTATAAAAAGTGATCAAAAAAAGTTAGTAATTGTTAATTTTTAGCGATATATGCATAAAATTGTCACAAAAAATTATTTTAGCTACAATTTTACTAGGATTATGTGACAGCCCAATTATTTATTTATTTTTTTTTTTTTGAAACATCATAGGAAATTAAATAACAAATAACTTATTAAGTTAAAAATTTAACATCTTAATAGGAAATTTTTAATTTTCATACAACCAAATGTTTAACAACACTAAATATAAAGAACAAAAAATTAAAAGTCCAAATACAACATTAAGCAACATTATAACATCTTTAATCCTTAATACATATGACAGTAAAATTTTATTTTGCTAAAGTCATGGCTTCAAGTTAGCTAAGGCTCTATAATAGTAGCGGTTTCAATTTTAGCTTCCATTCTTTTCTCGTTAAAATCTGGCATAAAATGTCAGGGCAACAAAACATATGTCATGAGTTTTGCAACATGTTAAGAAAACATAACAAGCCTACCATTCTTTTTAAGAGAAAATTAATTAAATTAATAATCATGACAATTAAGAGAAAATAACAAAATTAATAGAATAACAATATAACAACTATTAAAATAATTTAAACAATTTTAATTGTTTAGGTGACACTAAAAATCCCACCAAAGAGATTTTCTTACCAAGCACTAAGTCATGGTCACGGTTAATTTGAAAATCCCCCTTAGTCAAATATTCAAGTGTTACTAACTGTAACTACCAAGGATGCCAACACTCAGAGTTATATACCCAAGTCGTGGCATCTGTGGTCTGTCCCAAAGGAACGGTTTGTCAAGGGTATGTAACCTCCCTGCATGCCACCCGCTCATCTACTCTTATCCCAAAACCAAATACCGATAAGTGTTCAAATAAGTTCCGGGTCATCTTAAGGTTTCGCGACACAATTATGTAAAAATTATTAAAAACCAGGGCTCACCCTGAATTATTGATATCAACCCTCAATCGTTAATTTTGTATATGCCGTTAATCATTTTAGTTAATTTTTATAATCATTCACCATAAGTGTTATACCATTTCATTAAAAGTCCCAACAAAAAATATTACACGTATGTTATAAAATAATCAATCAATATACAAAATTATAATAAACAATTAAATTAAACCATAGTATGAAATCATAATTTTAAATACTTAAAAATGAACCACAACGACACACATGCATGGATTACTAATTTAAATGATTCAATTAATTAGACTAGCATAATATTTTTTTTAGTCCTAATAAATATTTGAGTATTAATCTTAGTTCCTTCTCAATTTGCCACTTTTTGTAATTAAAATTATAAATAAATTAT